ACTGTTGTCATCTTACATGTAGAATGAAGTGTTTAAGAAATATGTACCTAAAAGACTCCTTATCCAAATAATAATAATAAAAACCCCTAAAACTGTTTGCTCCTGACTTTATCTTCTCAGTATGCTTAGTGAGCACACACATCAGGTTAGAAAATCAGGTTAAATTTATTTAGGATTGCAATGTGGGCACTCATTTCACTGAACTGCGGTTCAGTGTCTAACCTAAATAACCTTTTCTTTTAAAAGAGAAAAAAAAAGGAAAGGAACTCAAGTGCCTTTGTCCCACTATTCAGTAGATTTTTACAGCTGTGACAAGACAGGAAACCAAACAGAGCAGAAGTTCTGGCACATTCATTCCTTGCACCTTTTTCAGAGGGTTTTATTTTTAATGCTTATGTTTGAATTTGTTAGTGGATATGAGATTAAACACAAAACTAACACTTTTTCTGAACTAAAATGAAATCAGAATTGTACCTGGAATAGCATGAAAGAAAACCCATCTTTTAAAATAAAGTATTTAAAAGCTTCAAATCAGATCCATAAAATTCTTCTATTTTAATGTTGCTCCTTTTATTTTCAGGAATATAAGGTTTCTACACCAAAATTGCTTCTGAGCAGAAGTGAACCTGTCTCAAGGTCTGTTGATGTTCTGCTGTTCAATTGTTGTCACATTGGGTATATTCAAAAGTCTGTCCCTCCCTTTCCTCTGCCTTTGTCCCTTTTCCTTCCATTCTAACAAACGTAGAACCTCCAGACTGAAAAGATATTTCATCAAAAACATCCTCAGCTCTGTTTCCCTAACACAGCACATCCAATCCTCCATGTATCTGCGCTCTATTCCAAGCAATTCCTATTTAGAGTTTTTACCTTTAAAATTTCTGGGATTTTTGCTTGTACCTTTAAGGCTGGTACAGACACACAGTTCTTCATAGGACCAAAGGATTTTTCAGCTCCTACCTGGGGATTCACTGTAAAACCAAAGGGTCCTTTTCACAGGCTCCTACCTGGGGATTCACTGTAAAACCGTAAAACCAAAGGGTCCTTTTCACAGAGTTCAACAGCAAACTTAAGAACTAGTGAAAAAGTGAAAACAAGTATCATGCACATTTCCCACTGCTGCTGCCTATTTCACAAGGGAAAGGACACCCCAACAGCCATTCTTATCACTCAAAAACTAATTAATGTCCTGCTACTAAACTGGCACCTCCCCCTCTACTCCACTCTTGTGGAACTCCACCTGGAATACAGCATCCAGCTCTGGGGCCTCAACAAAACTACGTGGATCTGTTGGAGTGAGTACAGAAAAGGGCCACAGAGATGCTCCAACAAGGGCTGGAGCACCTCTGCTATGGGACAGGTTGAGAGCACTGGGGGTGTTCAGCCTGGAGAAGAGAAGGCTCCAGGGAGACCTTAGAGCACCTGACAATACCTAAAGGGGCTGCAGGAGAGCAGAAGAGGGACTTTTTCTGAGGATGTGGAGTGAGAGGAAAAGGGGGAAATGGCTTCACACTGAAAGAAGGTAATTTTAGGTTAGATATTAGGATGAAATTCTTCACTCTGAGTGTGATGAGGCACTGGAACAAGTTGCCCAGAGAAGTTCTGGGTGCCCCATCTGTGGAAGTATTCAAGGCCAGGCTGTGTGAGGCTTAGAACAACTTGGTCTAGTGGAAGATGTCCCTGCCCATGGCACAGGCATTGGAACTAGGTATTTAAGGTCCTTTCCAACACAAGCAATTCTGTGCTTCTGTGATCTATAAGAAGTGAACGCATTCGATCTTTTAGTCTTTAAAAACCAGCTTGCACTCAAGCCCACCAAAATCCAATTTTTGATAAAAAACTGTCCTTTCATGCCATGGAGTGTATCCTGTATCCTCTACCATCAGGGAGCACAGCAGCTGCTGCTGTTCACTGGCTGCTCTACAGCCCTGAGATTACACACCAATAAATTAAACAACCTTGATAATAAATTAGACATCTTTGCCATTACATTATAAATTAGGAGGCAAGATGAGCATATGGTCCCTCTCCTCAGGGGGCCCTTGGCCAGCCAGGGGTGGTTATCTGACCACTCCCATTGCCTGCAACTTCCCTGTGAGAACCAGGCAGTGGTGGAAGGAAGTGTGATGGCAAAACTCAGGCAGACCAGCTAAAAGCCCACTGCTAAAGCATATCTAGGGATATTCCTGTCTCTAGCCTCAGTTTTCCATAAATTTAATTTACATTTCTCATTGAGAGATCTCAATCTCTCATTACTCGGCGGTGTTAGTCCAAATGGGAAACCTTGGCCAGGAAAACACAGAAGCACAAACAAGGCACTTCTTTCCCATTTTACAGCAGACACTTGGCTGCCTGCCAGACCCCACTACAGGGTTATGCAAATGCATTTACTCTTCTTTATCAATACCCAAAATACCTTTGCTGTTGTAAAGCGACATCTGTAAGATCAGGCCTGTTCTTCAGAAGAATAGTAGCAAATATGCTGCACAACAAAATGAGGAGGACACTACCAGGGGATGCCTAAACGGAGTCATTGTCAGGAGTATTTGATATCTGTGACACTTCAGCCCTAGAATTAAACAGAGATCGGATTTTCAGCTTTGGATTTTAGGTCCAAAAGGAGAAAGGAATAGTGTGTGACTATCTGGATGTTGTAACATGATGTGACCTTCCATCCTCTACTCAACCGATGGTCTTCGCTCTTGTATTTAGAGTAAGAGCAAGGGATGGGTCAGGTTCAGCTCTGCACTGTATCTGAGACACTACCTCAGCAGAAAAAGTATGCCAGGAGGCAGCTAATGGAGCTGTGCACTCAAAAAAAGGGGCTAGATCAGCAAAAATCCCAGAAAGGAGCAGGGAAGAAGACAACTCAATAAGGGATAGAGTCACTAAAACTAGAGCTCCCAGCACCCTCTGCACTGTCATCCAGAAATTCAATGTATAACAGAAAAAAACACCTATAGAAAGTTTCCATTCCCCATTCTTACGGCAAACATAGCAGTGTGTGTGTGAGGGCAGAGAAAGAGAATTTTTAACAAAATCAGGATTCCCTTCCCAGAGCCTCCGATAAGAAATGAGACACAAGAGGCAGAAGAGCAGCTAACAAGTGTTAGCAGACATAAACCTGCTGCTGGTCACATGGCTGCATAAATCACAAGTGACTTCATTAAAGTCAAGCAGCTACATGGGCATAAAATCTGTATATTCAGAATCAGCATATATTTATAGAAGAGAAATAAAGTTAAGATGTTAGAAACTACTGGAACAGTTCACAAAGCCTGACTTTTTCAGCTGAACAAAATAATCTGTGCTTGGCTACAGGTGTAATAGAAGCAGGTAAGAAAAAGGCTAGAATGTTTATTTTTACTTCAGTATATGTGCATTAACTGGGGTAGAGAATTGGATGTAAAATCACCCCTTCTCTCTGCCATCTGAGTTTGTGCCAGCACCAGGAGCTATAGATTGCTGAGAAACTGATTGATTTCTGCAAAATTCAGGAGTAGGACTTTTCAAGAACTTCTAATATCCTTGAAAAACAGAGCACAAGAAGATCTCTAGAAATTCTGACTTTCTCAGAAGTCAATCAATTTCTCAGTCGTCTGTAGCTATTGGCACCTACCCAAATCCAACCTGGAGTCAAATGGCAGAGCTTAGATAGCTTAAATTTAGATGTGAGAAATGAAATAAATCTTTCCATTATTTGCTGCACATTACTGTAACCTTCACATTTGAATTATAGTCCAGCAGCCTATATATACTAAGAGATATAAAATCCACAAAGATAGAAATCAACAACCTCTACCAAAGATAGCCATGCCAGTCACCTACCAGAATCCAAGAGTTATACCCAGACAGGAAAGCTCCTCAATAAGGATCATAGAATCATAGAATTTAGGGGTTGGAATGGACCTTAAAGATCATCTAGTCCCAACCCCCTGCCATGGGCAGGGACACCTCCTCACTA